GGAGAAAAACACTTAATGCCCAGGATGGCAGTGACCAGGGCTACACAGAGAGTGTTGGCTTTCTAGTTGCTTCCTGTAACTGTTCTGTTAGACTCCCAAGATTCACTTAATTTGAGATTTTTTAAAATATTTATTTATTTATTTTTATTTTATATAATCAAGTCCATTTAAATGAAACAAACATTTATAGACAATATTTGGGAATTTGGACGTCATTCTTTCCAAACTACTTCCTGCTAAGGGGCGCTGTCATGGGGGATTCTACGAAGATGCAGAAATCCTGGCTGTAGTCTGTAAGGCTGCTTTGTCCAGCTGTTTTGAATGTAGGATCACCTGGTACTCTGTTTCAGGTGGTCTGGCTTGATCAAACCACATTTTAACTAGGTATTTCTATCTTTGAGACAATTTACCCCTAAATCTATTTTATTCACCTTATAACTTCCCATAGCGAAATTGCTATTCAAATTTAATTGACTATTTAAAAATATCCAGTGACCTAAGCATGTATACTAATTTTTCAGACATGCATGCTATTATGTGCAGTTGCATGGGGAGAAAGTTGTGAGGGTTCAGACATATAACAAGCTTGGGTATCATTCCTCAGGTGTCATTCACCATCTTCATGATGGGCTTTCAAGAACCTGGAACCTGCCAAATAGGTTGACAACTGAGCCCCAAGATGCAGCTTCACTCTGTTCCCCAGCACTAACAGGTACATGTCACTGCATCCAGATAGATTTTTACATAGATTTTGAAAATCAGGCTCAAGTCTTTCATGCTTTCAAGGCAAGCATTTTAGTAACTGAACTACCTCCTTGATTGTGGATATATATATATATATATATATATATATATATATATATATATATATGTGTGTGTGTGTGTGTGTGTGTGTTTGTGTGTGTGTGTATGTGTGTGCATGTGTGTCTATTATATATTATGTTATATGTAATATGATATGTGATATATAATATATATATATTTAAATTTTTTTCTTTTATCCCTGTTCTGCCATAAGTTAAGTATTTTAGTAAAAAACAAACTGCTTACATCCTTAATTTTGGCAATGGAGGCCAAATGCCACTGTGGCTAGATAGAAGACAGGAGGAGAGGTCATACTGGGAGTTTGATGCAAACAGAGTTTGATGCATACAGAAATGGCCAAACATGAACACTATCTTGGATTCAGGCCCCTTGAGACTCTCTGACTTCAAATCAGAAGCTTCTCAAAACTGCAGCTTGCTGAAAAATTACCATAGTATCTCACAAATTTGAAACTTTTCCTTTGCTCCAAATGCTGTGTCTGCAAAACTCAGAAACATCCAGATGAGGGGTAAGATCCGCAGTCAGCCATTCTGAGTTTTGTTCTATACAACAACAAACACTGAAGTACTTATACTCATCAGAATGGCTTACAATGTTTTCTGACATTGTTAATTTATGCTGTTTCTTCCATCTCATCCAATTTTCTGATTATTTACCAACTAGTGATATAATGAGCTCATCATCCCTGGGGTGGGAGGAAAGAGGGAGGAAGGAGGAAGAAGGTGGGAACAAGCAGCTTGAGCTTTGGGTGGGCATTTTGTATATCCTTTTTCTTTTGGTCAACACAGTAGGAAAAACAAAGGCCAAGGGTTTGTACCCAAGCCAATGGTTTCGAAGTGCTATGTTTAAGTTTTATAAAGATATGGAAAAAGGTAGCACTTACTGACTGAAAAGGATGCCTTGACTAATCTGTGACTTTCAATAGTTTATGGTGTCCTTTTTAACCCATTTATGAAAGAGTCGTCATCATATTATTTTTTTTTTTTAATTTTCCCACTGACTCAACAAGAGCAAACCTTATGACATGGAAATTGTGTGATCATTCAGTTGGCTGGTGTTGCTTTTGTCAAACAACATTCTCTAGTTTTTAAATTTAGGAAATGTTTCTGAGTATTATTTGCTAGATTTTGTTTGCTTGTTTAGCAGTGTTTTAAAGAGTTCAGGTTGACACCAGGCTCTCCCCAAACTCCTGATTCTCCTGTCTCTTCCTGCAAGGTGCTGGGATCATGAACAAGAGTCATCATACCTAGCTTGTTTATGAAAACCGGTTAGATTTAATTAAGTTATCTAAGTATCCATACAAAGGTGTAGTGTACATGACCATGAAATTGAGCTGTTTTGTTTAAAACATGGATTTTAAAAACATTTTTCTCAACTGGGTGGTGGTGGCACACACCTTTAATCCCAGGACTTGGAAGGCAGAGGCAGGCAGATCTCTGAGTTTGAGGACAGCCTGGTCTACAGAGTTAGTTCCAGGACAGCCAGAGCTACACAGAAAAACCCTGTCTTGAAAAACTATATAGCATATAATATATAATACATACAACTATTATTCCCACTGGTCTAAATCAAAACAGGTGAATCCAGTAAGTCTCCCTAACAGAAAGCCTCATTTATAAAACGGAGTCTTTTACAGTTTCTCTCTTTTAGTGTTTTGCTTGTTGCTTCTGTGTGTGTGTGTGTGTGTGTGTGTGTGTGTGTGTGTGTGTGTGTGTGTGTGTATTTGTGCTTCTCCTAGTCTGGACAATGCATTTTGGTCCTGCCTGATATGGAGAGAGTTTGGAGATCTGTGGATAGGACCTCTGTCTCCTCATCAGAATATATGTTTATGAGATCTTATAGGCAGCAGGTGACCTACAATATAGCATGTGAAGTGTTCTCCTTCATTGCGCATCTCAGAGGAACACTAAGCCATTCAAGTTTATTTATTAGCTACGACAGACCAAATGCTTGTCCTAGAGAACCTCCCAGTATAGGGAGAGTTGTTTCCATGAATAGACAAGAGAATGATTTCAAGAGAGGGTACTTAAAAGACAAAGGGAGATTGACATGTTTTATTAGAGTGGCATTCAAGGAAAGTGTTTTCTAAGGTGAGATGCTGGGGACACCAGGGACTTGGAGGAGTTTCACCAGCAGCAGAGAACTGAGAACCCAGTATTGTGATTGCAGGGAAGTTTAAACTGTATCTTTCTAACAGAAAACATACATATGCTCACATTCCAGCCTATAAATGTCTAACTCCTGCCAGTAATAAGAGAAGCCATTCACCTACTTCCTGGAATTCTCCAGGAATAATAATTTATCATTTACTATGATAACTTATTCTAAAAATGTCATTTACTTGGTGTCTGTTATAAAGCTCTATAGACAGGTCTTTAACAGAGTGTGATTTGTCACAATTCATATGTGAATGAAAAGGCAAGTCAGGAGGGAGATTTAAGAGAAAAAATTCAGCAAAGCAAATTGGACACATTGTTCCTTATGCTATATCCAGGTAAACATTGTATGCACATTTCTTGGGCCATTGTTTCATATGTGGTATGTAAAAGGTGGTGCTAAATCTCTTTGCAAGGATCTTACAAGAATAGTTATTGAGAAAATATATGGCAGTAAATTATTAAAATCTACCTTCTATTAACTGCTTTCATGTTAATAGAGAAACAAAATAAAACAAAGACCTCCCTATTATCTGAACTGAGGTCCAAGAAGGAGAGATACCCCTTTTGCAGGAGACAGCACACAGCCCATAGGTTTGATTAATTACCCACCAAGCATACAAGAATGTATGTGTGGGCACACAAGAGCACTTATTAAAAGGCTCGCTTATCACTTTTTCCAAGACACCCTTAGGGAAAAAGTAAAAATCGTTCTCTGGGAAGGATATTAAAAAGAAACAACAGTAGGCACTGGTATTTTATGTAAGAAACAAATCATAATTTTATTATGAAAAGATTAAAAAACAAAACTATTCTGTCCTCTTTCACAGGAGGAAATGCAGAAGAATTCTTTTTTACAGGTACTGAATTTATGTCAATTTACACATTTAAAAAGGGGGGTAGGGGCTCTCTTGTTTTGGGTACAAAGTTAATTTAAATCTAGTATCCGGGATACCAAATAATACCACTGACAAAACCACATTGTCTATAGCCACAGAGTTTTAAGCTCTATTCCTGACTTCTAAACCTCTGTAATGATTTCTACATTAAGTGATATAATATACTCGAATTAATAATAAAGAAAAAAGAACTGTGCGGAGAACTTATTTTTTCCCATATGAAATCTTACTGTTCCTGTGTACTGGTGTTTTGCACTGAGTCCATAATTTAGAAAACCCTCTGCTTCCTGGGAACTTAATGCTGCGTCGTATTAAAAGAAGAAACTGTCAATTGGGATTTCACAAGGAAACTCCGAACTCAACTCATTAAGCCCAGTGAGCAGGGACTTTGGAATGATTTGCTCCAGGGACCTGGATCTCCTAAAAACACTGTTCTGTTGTGCCTACGTTCTCAGTACAACACTTGTCAGCTTTCCTGTTGTAAATTCTTTTGTAGCATCTTGGTAGAAGACACTTCCCATTTTGTGGAAACCCTTCAGAATGCGATTTTCAATGAATCCGTTCACAAGGTTCAAAAGCTTTAAATTACTAGACCGCGGTTACCATTGAGAAAACGCACTGAGCAATATCAAGGAGAGGGGGAAAACATAACCAGGTACAAGTTGAATTTTCTAAGGTCGCCGTGTAAGTGCTTTTCAGAAAGGATTAAGACTTTCCCGTGAACAAGATAGCTTCCAAACAACTCACTTCCAAGAGTGGGAAACACACACACTCGCAGTCCGTTATACTTGGCCTACTTTATGCTGGTAGCGGATTTGCGCTGAGAGTCTGTATTTTAGAATATCCTCCTTCATTTAATCTTCCACGAATAAAAAACCAAAGTATGTAGAAGCATGAAGAATCACCCCCCCCCCACCCGTGGGATCAAAACACCAGCGCAAATCCGACCAATGGCGCTTCTTACAGAATTCTTGACATAAACAATGTGGAGTGTTGAGAATCAGGCTCAGAGGCGGAGAAACAGTAGCAACTTGGCCAAAGTTGCTTTGTTACCACAAACTGATTGTGGTCCATAGGAAGCCTCCCAGCTGGAGACACCTTGGTCCCCAAGCCCACTTACCTTCTCTTCTACAAAGAGGTCTTCAGCTCCTTTGCCTTCGCTGAAATTCCAAATCTCTTTGTCTTAGAGAAGCCTTAGATCTGCAATAGAAAACACCAAAAGATGTAAAGTGGATCAGTGGGTTATTGATATTCTATGCGGAAACGTAAGATTCGAACTCCTCAAAAGTAAAAGCTGAATTCTGACAAAGTCTATCGCTGGGTTCTAACAATGAAACAGGAAAAACTGATTAGTAGTTATTAAAACAAACAAGCAAACAAAATCATAACTGTCAGCAAGGGCCTATAATCCCAGCTAGTTGGGAGATAGAGGCAGGAAGATAAATTCAAGGCCAGGCTGGGCTACAGAGTGAATTCAAGGTCTCTCCGGGCAACCCAGGGAGAACATATTTAAACATTAATGGTTAAAAGAGAACTGAGGATCCAGCTGAGTAGTAAAATACATGCCTAGCATGTTCATGAGGGCCTGGGGTTAGTCTCTAGGGCAGAGAGAGAGAGAGAGAGAGAGAGAGAGAGAGAGAGAGAGAGAGAGAGAGAGAGAGAGAGAGAGAAAGAGAGAGAGAGAGCGCTACTAGCAGTGTGCTAAGTGAAGCTTGATTCCATAAACCCACAACTGCAGTCGCTTGACATTTTCCCTACAGTTTCAAAGGAAGAATTTTGCATGATTTATTTACCTTTAAAAAAAGGGAGGTGTTGTAGGATTTACCTAAGACATGTGACCTTCCATCTTGTTTAAAATCTTTCCTCCTCTCATCCCTAATTCCAGTTACATAGGACCAGGATGTGGGTTAGACCAAGAGCGGGGACACCTCAGATTACATTTGTGTTCCCAGGAGCCAGGAATATATTCGTGACAGCATGAACTTCAAGTATTGGGTTTTAGCAAGGTCAGTGAAAAATGAATTGCAGGTGCTGTTTAGTTTTGCATGACATTTAATCATTTTAAACTTTAATCACACTTTAACTGTTGGGGAATATTATTTTCAGGTGTGTGACTTTTGTTTATGCAGCATTTGTTTAACTCTATGAAGCTGTGTTACTGTGCCTGTCTAAAACACCTGGTGGTCCTAATAAAGAGCTGAGCGGCCAATAGCAAAGCAGGAGCAAGGGCAGGTGGGACTGACAGATAGAGAGAATAAATAGAAAGAGAAATGAGGAAGAAATGAGAGAACAGTGGGAGGAGGAAGACTGACCAGCCCCCCAGTTAGCCATGGAGTAAAAAGGTTACATAAGATATATAGAAGTAAGAAAGATAGATGCCCAGGAGGAAAAGGTAGATGGGTTGGGTTAATTTAGAATGAAAAGAAAAATGCTGGCTAGAAACAAGGTAAGTTAAGGCTGGGCACTCATTTAAGAATAAGCCACCATGTGTGATTTACTTGGGAGCTGAATGGTGGCTCCCCCACAAAAGCTAAAAGAACAAAAACATTTCACACAATCAAACCAATTCCCCCTGGAGCTGTTTTCCATATATCAAATATTGAATCAAAATCTTTGTGTTCCTTTTGTTTCCTTCTGTCACCAAATGCTAAGGACCAACTAAGCAGACATCATCAACAAACAAACAAACAAAAAATGTGGAGGACTAAGGAGTCACAAAGGCAAGTCAGAGGCTGTTCTTACTCTCACCAGGGAAGCTTCTTTATGAAGAAGATGGTTTTAATACAAAGACCCAAAGTGCAGAGAACTTTGAGGTGCTTATCACTAACTGGGGATACTTATATCACATAGGAACAGGGAGGAAGGATTGTAAAACCCATTGGAGAGACTGATACAAAGCAATCCTTCCAGACATGATAGGGCCATTGCAAGGTTGCTTGCACAGCCATGGTTGCTTGCACAAGAGCAAGATCTGCATAAAGACCACATCCTTCAGCATCCTACTCTGGCAGGTGGGGATTATGAGCTTCTATGCCTAGCCAGGCAACTCTTGGCAGATAGCAGATAGCTGCTGACAATCAGTTTCTTTCAGTGGTGTGACACTTGCTAGGGATAGGGAGGAAAAGGAAGAAGGAGGAGGAGGAGGAGACATGAAGTTGGGAGGGAATGGGGACATCTATGAGGAGTTGGTGGGAGTAGGTGGGGCAGATATAATCTATATATATTATATTCATGTATGGCTTTGTCAAAGAATACATTTTTAAAAATTTAAAAACATTAAAACTAGTGTTTAGATCTGCATATCATTGACTATGTTATTGATGTAATTATCCAGAAAAGAGGAATTAGGAGCAACTGTTTCAGAAAGCAGGCAGACACATTTTTTTCCAACACAAGTTGAGATCAGATTTGTGTCTGGCTCATAAGGTAGTTGAAGATGTTGAAATATGAGGTTGGGAGTCATAAAATAGGTATCACTCTTTTTATAAAATCTTTCTTTTTGCATGTTTATGCATGAGTTGGTGAGTTCAGGTGCACATGTGCCAGGACAGCATGTGTGTGTGGTGACCACAGGACAGCCTCAGGTGTTGGTTCTTGCCTTTGGTTTGTTTGAGAAGAAGGCAGTGTTGTTCCTGTGCTTTGTATGCTAGACAGACTGACCTATGAATCTCCCATTATGTGGTAGAATTACATGGTAATCCAAAAGTACACTCTCCCAGGCTTTTCCAAGCTTTGCTGAATTCTGGATATTTTTAGTCAGGTTCTCACACTTAAGTGGCAAACACTTTACCTACTGAGCCATCCAGTCAACTCCCCAGCCAAAATACATCTAACCCTTCAAGAGGTGGGGTGGGGGGAATGGCATATAGTCTGAGGAAATATCTGCCTGAAAGGGATTGGGGGTGGGGTAATAAGGAGGCAGTAAAGGAGGCAGGAAGTAGGAAGTGTGGGAAAGATGGGACTCAGGGACAAGCAGTCACTTGGAAGTGTTAGGCAGATTATTCAAGAAGGAAGATATGGTTGATAGTCCAGTGGGAATTGGTCAGAAATCATAGGATCTGACATACTAGAACATCTCTAACTTTGTACACAGTTCTTCAAATGGTGGCTGGGAGCAGAGATTACAGAGAAGAGGCAGAGGAAGGAGAAGGGGAAAAAGAAGAGGCAAGAGTAGAAATGGGAGAGGGAGGAAGAGGAGATGGAAGAGAAAAGGAGGATGAGGTAGGAGCAGGTAGAGGTGAGATTATGACCAGAAACAGGGTGGGGAGAAATTTCAGAGTAGAGGAAATGTTTTTGTTAGGGTGGATATGGATCAGTCAATGTGAGCAAATCACAAAGTGGGAACATGAGACCAGCAGCAAGGGAGAGGCTGCAGATGTCAGAGGAAGGAGTGGATAGGGTAACAAGGACCAATGACAGGTGGAAAGTTTGGGTTGGGAGAGGAAGGAAGAGAAGTACCATTATCTTCTAGGTGGTATGAAGTTATTTTGAAGCTAGGTCTGGATAGAATATGTGACTTGACAAAGTAGTGTCGAGGAAGCTGAGAATGATCATGTGGTGAGATTCTGAGTTACAGACACAGGACACAGAAGATCAGGGAGGAATCCAGGGTGAGTGAACAAACAGCTTTATCCAGAGCTGACTTGGGGAGTCTTTCATAAATTTCTCAGGAAGTTCTACGTTGGCCAACAATTGAGAAGATAAAAGACTGGAGTAACCCAAGATGGGAATTTGCTTTGAGTAGAAATACAAGAGCATCATGGAGGTACATAAAACTACAGAATAGAGCAGAGTCCCAACAGTGTGGGGACTGGATGACACTAAATTATTGTCAACTGAATTACTGATTGATTGAGCCTCCTTGTCTCCTCATTTTCTCTTCTGTTTTTTCTTCCTCTTTTTTATTTATTTATTTATTTATTGCTTTACTTAGCAATACTTACTGGATGATTTTATTATTTTAGATATTTTGCAAGGTATCACATGGGAAAGGGAAAGTAACTTTAGATCAAAATTAGCTTCCTGGTATCTTTACTGTTACCATAGATACTTGGATTTCTCAGGCTCAGTCTATATGTATCAAAAATGGATATGTATGGGTATGAAGATTTATATTTATATAGTCATCTATGTTATAACATCATCCATGTTTACCTCTCACATTGATCAAAACAATTTTTCCTACATAGTGGGTAGGGGAAGTAGTATGCTGTATAACGTGTATGTGTGCGTGCCTCTGTGTGTGTGTGTGTGTGTGTGTTATTTTAAAACCTTTATACTCTTCACACTGATTGCTGTATACCCTGGAGTACTGCTACAGAATAGCCTGTACCTATTCATGAATCCTGGTGAGGGAGCATCCTAAAAATTATTCAGGGCATGGTGGAAAATGGATGAGGCACCCCGATGTTTCAAGTGGATTCTTGAACAGAAGAAAGTAATTCAACTCATAGATTGCTGCATATATGGCAATTTGTAGGCACAGATCAGTACAGAAGAAAGGAAAGAAGATAGAAAATAAGCAAGCAAGCAAGAAAATCATCTTTTAACTAAGTAAATAGGCTTACAGCATACCTGAACACTCATATTGGCATCACCATCCTTGTGAAAGAAAGTAGGTAAACAGCCCAACTCTGTCCAGGCAGCTCCTAGAACTCCAGACCTGGTAAGAACTACAATTTCTACAAAGCTAGGTTTGAGTTCCACCTTTTAAAATGTATATTTTAGGATTTATTGTGGAAGTTTGGGAAGTTTATTGCTTGGCATTGGCCTTAAACTGAAAAATTGTGATAGCTATGTCCTTGTGACCTTGAAGTCAAGTTAAAGTTTTTATGCCTTAATGGGTTCCTCTACAAAATGGGATGAAATATCTCCCCATGTGTTTGCCATGAGAAGGACAAAGTGAATCACTTAGAAGAGGGCTGGAAAAATCTAAAGATATGCTTAGCATACTTATGAATGCTCACATAGGGAATTAAGGGGGGGGAGGATTGGCCAAGCTTTAAGCATTGCCCTGTGACACTGTCATATACAAATATACCTACTCTGGGACTAGTGTGCTCCAATGGTGACTGTCCAGACATGGCTAGAAGATGCTGAGGCAGGAAGACCATGGATTCATGGTGAAGATGAACATTACAGTATGGACTTGTTTCAACAAGTAAACAAAACAAAATCTTAGATAATTATACACATTGTTT